CCTGCGGGGGCCTGTCCAGGGGGAAGGGTGAGGGGGGAGCTTCTCCGCGGCGGATGGCGGGCGGGGGGGGGGCGGGCAAGAGGCAGCAGACGCTGTGTTTACCAGCTGCCTCCCTAGTTCGCCACCTCAGCTCAGCCACGGCTCTGGGGCGAGCCAGTCGCCTCCTTCTTTAAGATTCTGGTCACAGCAGGGGCTGGGTTTCTAAGGCAGGCGTGATCTCTCTCTTCCTACAGACGCCGCTGCCGCTACCGTCGGCACTGGGCACAGCCCGGGGCAGCGCGAGGGGGAGACGGCCAAGGGTGGCCAGAGGGTTCCCCGGGCAGGGCAGCCGCCCAGCCCCGGCCCGCAGGGGGCCTCGACAGTAAGTACCGCGCTCCACGCAGCCGGGTTTGGGATCGCCTGGGAAAGGACCAGAAAGCGGGGCGCCCAGCTGATGAGGCCAGGGTGTGTGGGGTTGGGGGGTCGGCAGCCGGGTGCTGGGGTCCTCGACAGCCCCACACAGCGACTCCGGGCGGCGCTGGCTTGGGTCCCTCGTCCCGGGCGCGCGCCCGCTGGGCTCCCGCAGTCGATGGACCGTGGACGGAGTTGTGGCGCGTCCGGAGCCGACATCCCTCCTCCCCACCATCCGCCAGCCCCCCACCGCCAGTCCCTAAGGAGCCGTTCGGGTTGACAGGCCACCCGCGTGCCCCTTCGCGGCGCCACCCGCGAGGAGATTGGAAGACAAGATGCGCGGGGCCGAGGGTTTGGACGCCCGTGGAAAAGTGGCGGCGTGAGCGGAAAGTTTTCCTCTGAAGTGGCGGTGGCGAGGGGGGGAGGAGAGCTAGAAGCCGAGAGGCACACGCCGGCGGGGGCAGCGGCGACCCCTGCGCGACTCGAGCCCCGCCCTCCCCGCAGCAGCCCTGTCCCGAAGCTCCGCACCCCCGCGGGAGCCCGACGTCAGAAGTGCGCGGGCTTCTAGGCGCAGCTTCCCCAGGGCCGGCGCACCCTGGCTGGCCTGCCCTCGTGTGGCCTCAGCGTTCACGAAGCATCTCGGCGCTGAGAAACAAGACCGCCCGCCCGACAAGGTGATGCATTATTTGTAGAAAGCTTGGCAGGTGGGAATATGCAGGCCCGTACCTGTCACTTTCTTTTCCTGAGCTGTGTAAAATTCTAGGGTGGGGGGGGGGGAACGGTGGTGTCTGAGATCACAAAGGTGAGTTTATCCAAAGTCACAGAGTCCCGTTCTTAGAGAAGACCCAGATCTCCCTTATGCTTCCCACCCCCGCCCCCCAGATTCTCATCTGTACCAAGAGTCCTGATGATCATAATAGCTACTGTTACTGTGTGCCAAGCATCGTGCTGACCTCTTTAGGTAGTAATGAGAATTCGTGTACAGTCAGAACTGTAGCTGGCATTCACTCGGTACTTTCTGTGTACCCGGCACAGTTGTTGTAAGTGCTTTACGTGTGTTGAATCTTCACCACAACTCTGTGAGGTAGAACCTGACATTTTCCCCATTTTACAGATGAGGAGATTGAGGTGGTGGAAATTGAGGGGTGGACAAGACCAAGGTCCCACAGCTGGTGAGAAGCAGAGCTGGGCTTCCCCCCCACCATGTTCCACGCCCCCACTTTTTACTTCCGCACCCCGACTGTTAACCACTAGAAATAGGGTGAGAATTTGACTTTAATGAAGTAATAACACAGGCTTTGTTTTCCCCACAGTGCAGCTTATTTATTCTGTAGATCTGAAGTCAGGGCCCAAGGTCCAAAGAGATTTGAACCAATTTTCAAATCATCCTCATTACATTCTGTGGAGAGAGGCAAACCAAGTGGACTGTAACAGGACAGCAGATCCTATTAGTACCTAAACATAACAGTGATAATCGTGATTGCTAATAGCCTCTAGTGATTCAACACTTACTTTGTACATTTAATCTTCATGTAGGTACTTTGAAATAGGTACTATCATGAACCCCATTTTATAGATGAGGGAACTGAGGCTCAAGAGGTTAAGTAACTTGCCACAGAGTTCGGATTCCAGCCCAGATCCTCTGCCTCCAAAGACCAGATTAGATCTCACCTTTGGCAGATTTGTGCCAACTCCTTGAGCCGTCTCGTCCTCCGCCAGTTGTCCAGAGCCCTGCACTGTTCCCTCCATTCCCCAGCCCCCTGTTTGCACTGAAGAAAGGATTGTACAGGTTGGTGGAGAAAGGGTTTCCTAGAGAACATGGAGTGTTCTGCATGGATTTGGGTTTTGTCGTTGCACTAAGTGCTGTGCCTGTAACATCAATAAGTTGTTCTGCTTTATAAGTTTCATTAATTGGACAAGTGTCTGGTCTGCTGGCTTGGAGCTGTGAATCCAACATTATGGCTCTATCTGAGTACCACTGTTAGGAATTATTTTCTAAAAAATTTTTAGAACCTTATTTGCAATGCTGAGCAAAGCCATCTTCCCACCTCCTGCAGAGGGAGAGGGGGCTTGTCTTTCAGCCAGGACTTCAGTAGCAGAGACTCTGCAGAAGACACCTGTGTGGAAGTATTGCTAATTCCTATTGATTTTCGTCCCTCCTTCCCCCAGGATGGCCCCTGTGAACTGAACAGAATGTGGCCAGGTTCCGAGGGGCTCTTCCTGAGGCACGTCTGGCCCTGCAGTGGGGATGTTTGTAATTTCCCACCATTAGCCCTGACCCACTCACAGAGCTGGCTTCCACAGACCCTCTTCGGTGTGGACATAACAGCGTGTGAGCTTCGTGGCTTTGGTCTCCATTACTATGGCTGAACTTCAGCGTATCTGCTAGCAGTCCACCCCTCCTGCCCCCTCCCATGAGATGGGGGTCTTCCACGTGTAGCTTTTGGGTGGTGCATAGGATGTGTGGCTGGTAATCCAGTGCTGTGCTGTGTCCCTGGTTGTCTCTGTGGCCTCTCCTGAGTTCAGTGCATCATGTCAGAAGGCCGCACCAAAGGGGCCACTGGGTAGCACTAGTCCTCTGCCCTCGTTCCTGTGGCTAGAAATTACAGATTCACTTCAGTTTTGCCTGCATTTTTTCAATGACTTCTTTTAATTACAGTGGCTTAAATACCTAGAGGTTTTCCTCTTTACTGAATCTTCTCCTTTCCTGGAAATGCCCTTCTCTGCCTTGTCCATCTGCTGGACTCCTGTTCACCTTCACCACTCAGCTTGGGGTGGGGCTGGGGTCTGGTGGGAGTCATGGGGAGGGGGCAGTGGCCCTTCTCTTTACTCCCATAACATCTTCTGCTGACCCCTGTGGTTCCAGGTGACACATGATTTTTTATCTGTCTGTTGACATACCTGCCCCCACCTCAGACTGCAACCTCCCTGAGGGGAGAGACTGACCCTGGTTTCTCTTCAGTGCCTGGCACTGTACCTGGCACATAGTAGGTGCTCAGTACATTTTTGTTGTGTATATGAATGAATGCTATCTAAGAGCCGGTGGAGGGAGTCCCTGACTCACAGCAAGGGACTCTGCTATTATTCCCCTTACAAGAAGGCAGGTGGGAGCAGAGCTGGCATTATTCTGTAACACAGAGAGTCCCAGTTCTGTGGATTTTAGTCACTGAAAAAATACAAATACACCGTAATGCCAAAACCTGAATGCTTGGGAAAGGGCTTTTCTGGTTAGTAGCACGTTCTGGGTAACTGAGGGTTAGGTGGGGAAAAAAATGGGTATTTTTCTTTACCCTTTTTGTGTCTTTCTACAATGTCTGGGTCTGGTTTTCTAGTGAAAACCAGAATTAGTGAATTGAGTCTGGGGTCCATCATTGAATCTGTGTTGCCAAGTACGTAGCCTGTGGGTTCTTGGGATTCCCTAGGATTCTATCTTCCCCAAGCCTGGTTGCAGAATATGGCGTAATCACCTTACCACCTTCACCCAAAGACAAGCCTACAAGCCCTTTGAGGTTTGCAGTTTTACTGCTACTCACATCCTCGAAACTGACAGGGGGACCCAACTAATAACATGAAAGAGGTGCAGAGTGTTTGGTGCTAGAAAATCAGCACCTGCTCTTGCCCTTCACTTTTATCCTTAGGTGGAGGGTTCACCAACCTTGCTCCCCCTTTTCTGATACCATAGGGTCTTCCCTGTGCTTAAGGAAAGACCTTCTAATTCCTTCCTCCCTCTCAGCA